GGAGGTTGAGATGTGACCTTACAGAGGTTTATAAAATTATGAGGGGATATGGATAGGGTTAATGTTAAGTGTCTTTTCCCCAGGATGAGGGATTTCAAGACTTTAAAGTGAGAGGAGAGAGATTTAAAGAAGACATGAAGGGCAAAGTTTTTACAAACGGTGGTTTGCATGTGGAATGGACTTCCTGAGGAAGTGGTGGATGCGGGCACAGTTACAACTTTTAAAAGACATTTAGATAAGTACATGAATAGGAAACTTTTGGAGGGATATGTGTGAGGAGCAAGAAAGTGGGATTAGTTTAGTTTGAGATTATGTTCGGCATGGACTGGTTGACCGAAGGGTCTGTTTCTGTGCTGTATGATTCTATGACTAAATACAAAAGCTATGAACGCCCGTGGATATAGGAGCCACTGGAAATTGTACGTCGTGCTTACTGCCAAAGGGGACATACAAAGGAACTGCAGGCACCTTCTCCCACTATGGTGGATTTGACCAAGATTATTTATTGGACAAAATAAATGACAATTATTATTCAACAGGCAGGAGCAGACTAAAGCAAGTGGCAAAGTTAGAATGAGATTGGCTTACAGACAGATTACAAAGACCATTTGTTTTCAGTCAATCTTTCTTCCTAAGGACAATTCCACATGGAGAGAGGCCCTTTGGCCCATTGTATCTGTGTTCATCATCAAGCACCTAACTACTCTAGTCCCATTTTCCAGCACTTGGGCCTTAGCCTTGTATGCTTTGATTCATCTAGATACCTCTTTAAAGTTGTGGTGGTTTCCCTCTCTCTATCATTTTTACAGGAAGCAAATTCCAAATACTCACTACACTCGAGGTGAAAAGATTCTTTCTGAAATTCCCACTAAATCTGCCTCGTGCTTTAAATCCATGTCCCTGGTTATTGACCACATTACTAAGAATAAAAGTTTATTCCTACCTAAGTTATTGATCTTCTCATAATTGTGTACACCTCAATCAGGTCCTACCCTGGTCTTCTCTGCTCCAGTGAAAACCCCGGCCTATCTTTTCTGTCTTCACAGCTCAAACACTCCGGCCCAGGCCACATTCTAATGAATTTCCTTTGGACTCTCTCGAGTGGAATCACATCCTTCTGATAGTGTGGACACCAGAACACCACACAGTTCTCCTGCTGCGGCCTAACAGCTCACATTAGACCTTATGATCATAAGATGAAGGAACAGAAACAGGCCATTCAATTCATTAAGTACTATTCAATGTGAAAATGGTTGATCTGATAATCCTCAACTCCACTTTCCTGTCTTTTACAATAACCTTTGATTCCTTTCCTGATTAAAAATCTGTCTACCTCAGCTTTGAATATACTTAATGAGCCAGCAGCGAAATTCTGCAGTAAAGAATTCCACAGATTCACTCCCTTCTGAGGGAAGAAATTCCTCCTCATCTCTGTCTTAAAAATGTGACTCCTTATTTTGAGACTATGCCCACTAGTCCTAGATTCTGCCACAAGGGGAAAAATTTATTTCTGCATCTATCTTGTCAAGTCCCCTATGCCTCTTAAATGTTTTAATAAGGTTGCCTCCCATTCTTCTAAACTCCAATGAGCATAGGCTCAACCAACTCAATCTCTCCTCATAAAACAGTCCTTCCAAACCTCAGATCAGCCGAGTGAACCTTCTCCAGACTGTCTCCAACGCCAATATATCTTTCCGTAGTTAAGGGGCTCACAACTGGTTGCAGTATCCCAGCCGTGGTCTGACAAGTATATTGTATAGTTTTAACAAGACTTTCCTATCGTTATATCCTGTGTTTCAGAATACCTATGCTCTGAGCCTCGAGTTGCCTGCTACTTCAACACACCACCACGTACCCATGTCAAAATTTCTGTCACAGGCCTGCTGCAAAGTTTCAGTGAAGCTCATCAAAGAACAA